GTTTTTATGTAAGGGTTTATACAACCTCAAATGAATTGGTAAAATATTTATACTGAAATATATATCAGCAATCAAATTAGATTAGTGAGACTGTCATTGTACTAGATTGTCTAAGGGGATCGAGATCCAGCAATTCTTGGGATCGATTTACTTACATGATGCCTGGCTGAGCTCAGTTTGGGTCTATCGCACACTGGACAATTCGACGCAGCAGCTCGGTGCAACGAGGATGCGCATTAAAAACACATAAACGCCCCCGCGATATGCCAGCGTTCGTAGCAATATCACCAGAAATTCTACCAAAAGCTTTAAAAAGTAAAACTGTCATTTTACTTCTGCATATAATTTCTCAAGTTTCAACAATCAAAATGTTACATTAATTCAATGTTTCTTATTTTGTTTCATTCTCATACTTTTGATAAAATAAACGAAATATTTAAAAGTGATTTATAGAAATTGTGTATAATGATCGTGAACAGTATCGTTTTCAAATGTTCCTGGCATTGCTACAACGTTTCTGATCCGATTTCGTAGAACATCATCGTTGCGCCGTGGCTGTTTACTCGAAGAAAAACACCATATCGCGATTTGTAAGCCAGTAAGAACGGCAACGTGAAACCGGGGAAGTCGATTGCGCCTTCCTTCTGTCGTTCACCTCCGGTTTTCGCGTTTTCTCTCACGCGATGCTCGTCGTCGCGGGAACGTGGTTAGAATTGTTTATTAGTGAACTCGTCAGGCAAACAAGCGGACAATAATGAAGCACGCGGGTAACAGGGAACCAAGTTATCAATCTATTGCTCTCTGCTGTGGTGACTTCCGGGATTGGCGAACGAATTAAAGAAATAAATAAAGTGATGACTCGGGGAACGGATCAGATGTCAGGGAGTTTTATTAGGGCGAAGGGCTGGCCGAAATAATTCTCGTCTCTGTGTTTCTTTGTGTCTTTAGCCGTACACTTCCGGTCTAGCGAGTGTGCATTCCGGTATGCAGAGTACTTACAGTAGATATCATCCCATAATTAAACGCTTCGTTAAAAGAAAACTCGCTTCCGAGAGATATATATATGTATACAGTTTTTCATAAAGAATTTATCCTTCAGTTTAAATCGTCTTTTTTTTCTGGAAATCAAGGGAGAATCTTAACACGTGGAGACTGTTTTATAGAATGAGAGAGTCAATTATGGTGTTTGTGAAGTTATTTTCGAGGCACATCTCGTTATCAGAATTTATGCGAAACTGCATACTGATGTGGAACATTTTATGCCATATTTATGTATGTAATAAAGAATCGCAAAGATTTTTAAATAAATAAATAATATAGGGTCCACGTGTTAACATATCTCAAATTAGCGCTCGTAACAAAACGGCTGG